GTTTTGTTTTTGACGAATTGTTTGCTCATGTGGAAACTCTTCATTCGCATTATAAATAAATATCTTCGCACGTAATGATGTGCAAATTTTTTATTTATCTCCTGACTGTTAGAAGATAAATATGAGACGATAGAAAGATATAAGATATGAGGACTAGAATGTTGACAGTAAGTTTATTGTTACTTGGCTGGAAAGAGAAGGAACTCGAGAGCGTCGATCCCGTTCCAAGTCACCTCCCTTGTACTGAACGCAGGCTGATGGAATGGCAATCAGCAGACACTAGACGCTTAATATTATTGCTCGATATATTTTGGTTAGCGCAATAATATGGAACTTTTGTTGCCCATATTTTATGGTTTGCAATCGTGTTCAAAGATGTTCAAATATATTTTACAAACCGCCCTGGGCTAGAACTTTATGAAATTAAGTTTTTTGAGTACAAATTTATTGCGTTCGTTGTTTATTGTTGTGGCCGGTTTAATTTATTGTTTTTTTTTTATGTTTGCAAATTTTTTGTACGTCTTAATTCTCCCATTATAAAACTTTTCGCAATACCATATTGCGAGCGCATAATTTTTCTATTCGATTTCCGCATACTGCCAATAATCCTCAATAAATTCAACAATAAATCCTTCGTCGGTTTCTTGTCCCTCATGTATGGAACGCGTTGCCAAGTCTATCAATTCAGTCGGAATAATAATCAACTGTCGGAGTATTACGCAATTTAGCCCTTGCACGATCATTTACGTAACGTAATTCAAGATTTATAAATTTAGGAGGCTGCAGGTTATTATGGCGCTGCATTTTTTACTCGCATGGAGTGATCAGAATGTGGCGATTCGCAGCTCGGTAGTGTAGGCACTCTAGCCTGTTCACCCGCTTTTTAAACCTCTTCGACACTTTAGAAACGAATCGAAACCGGTCTGGCACAGATTGATAATAAATTCACAATACGCTCCTGTGATCGTTATCAGAAATTTTTTCGTCCTCTTCGTTTTCGTGCCTTGCGCTATATAGGCTAAGTTGGGCGTGCACGGGGTAGTAAAACCGTTATAACGAAGCAAACAAAAATCATTTTAACAACTCTCGCAGGAACGTATTGTGAATAAATAGCGTCGTTTTTTATTTAGGTCAAGATCGATTTTGATTTGACGAGTTGCGTAGCGTAGCGTAGTTGCGTAGAAAAAGTGACATGAAAAACCGTAACATAAACCGTTACAAAAATTAGTCAAAGATGTGTCGAGGTGGTATTTATAAAGACTAAGCAGAATAAGTTGGGCACCATTGATGTAAGATGCTAGAGTGGTGCTGTTCTGGCCGTTGAAGCAAGTGGTTTACTGTGCTGAGCTCCTGTGACAGCAGCCGGCTTCGGCCTTTGAAACTTTGAAAATACCCACAGATAATATGCAGTCAGTGCTGCCCCGCTCTGAGGCGTTGAGCCGGCGAAGGTACTACTAGCTAGAGATCAACTCCTGAAAACCTAACAATGCTCCCGGCATCTTACTGCAAAAATGCTTACATTTTGGACTCAAGTTCAAGGTTTTTGGACATTGCTTACATTGGCGTGGGACTCTCTAGCTGGGGCAGCCGTTGAGAAACTTTGGGCAACTCTTCAAGACACCCAATTTCGTAATTGAGCAATAAAATTCAGTCGAATTCCTTAAACTGTCCTCGCATGGGGTCGCATTGAACTAGTCATCAGAGGCTCGCACAAAATCTAATAAAAGAAAAAAATAGATGTAAGATGCTGATTATAGAAGATTTTTTCACTAATATTACGTTATATTAGGATTGATTAATAAAAAATACGCCTTCTGCGTCAGATTGAACGAAGTAAGTGCTATAATCACTCCTATTCCTATATGATAGTAGACAGAGAAGCTACTTCTTATGTAGAACCATATAATACGTTAACGGTTTCAATTGTCGGAGTAATTTAGGAAGTTGTGACTGGCTCTGCTTACTCTAACCATGGATTACGTTTATAGAATAGAAGGTACAAGATTGAATTCTCAAGTATATTATAGTGAAAACGACCGTGAATATGTTTATCACAAACGAACGACCAGAGATGGAAAGGTTTACCTTGCGTGTTCTAAGAGCTACTGTGGCGCTACCGCCGTGTTTGATGAACATGATATTGGTGCTGTAGACGAAGATAGAATAGGCCCAACGATCGTTGGAAGAAATTTAATATTAAGATCAAAGCTTCACAATCATCTTGGGGAATTGTCCCTTTTGCCTAATCTAGCTCTAGCTAATTCGTGCAAGCGCCGTGCCATGGCCGAAGGTAGTGCACCTTTTCGTTTCATTTACGACGAAGAAAGAGCCAGGTAAGCCATTGCCAATGTTCAGAATTTTCTTCTGAGACGCTGCTGATAAATTAAGACTTGTGTATGCTTTATCGTGACTGATTGGCTTGTATAAGATGTCCTGTTCTGAGCTGTTCATAGTATTGCTGTATATTGAACATTTTAGGAATTCATGCATTTCTCTGCACCTGCAATTTAGATGGAAAGGCCATCAGCAGTAAGCCACACTATTTTTTCTCAGAAAATGCGCGTGAGATTAATTGTCAATGATATAATTAGCTAGCCTATTAGTGATATGATTGGAGCAGCAGATGATGCTGCCATCTGTCAATTATCCAGATGTCAATAAAAATCATATAATCTATTATAGAGCCTAGAGGTCAGACTCAGAAGTTCTTTAAAGTTTGATTAGATCTTGCTTGATTCCTTGATAGTTGTGAACTTGTTGCTAATGTTGCAAACTTTATCTTACTGCTTATGAAGTAGATCGTTTCTAATTACTATAACTTCTTATGTTGATGCAGGCTGTCAATTTACTGCTGTCATTGTGGCAACTGAAGGGGCATTGATTTGAGTTTACTCTGAATGTCCATTGTCCAGGGATGAGGCATGTGATTCGGGATAAGTTTGTACAGTCGAGTACATTTAAGAAATTAAGATTATGTTCAAACATCCTAAAGAGGACCTAAAGCCTAAACTGATTATTTCCATAGGCTTTGTAATTAGTACCTAACTTATTAGTTATTTATGGATCTAGTAACTTGAAAATATTAAACAACTGACCCAGAAGCCAGAAAGTTCAAGCAAGATCCATATTGGAATGTGAAAAACTTTTACTGGCATTAGTAGATGTAGATTTGTAGAATACCCCCTCCCCCACTAGTCACTACCACTCTATCAGTGCCCAAATAAACATCTTGACCTAGCATCCTAGCCTGGCTAGCCATCAACCTAAAGTTGTAGCCTAATTAAATCTTGTAGTGTGATTTACAAATAATGGTTAATTTAAATGATTATTTTAATCTAGTAACCATTTTTTCTTAATAGTTGTAACTGTTTGATACAGTCTGTCTGAATTTTCTACTTCTAGTATAATATTTTGCATTATCTTAATAAAATCAATCGATTGTTTATGAAGATTCATTACCTTAGTCTACTAAATTACTTTACACGTAGTGCTGGCTGTTTTAGGATAAAATTTATTGGTATTTTTCCCATCATTTTAGAATTTTTTTTTTAATTACCCTCATATGGGGTACCACTTTGTTGAAACTTGCACCAAACAATGCATGAACCTTATGGGCTCTTGCAATATTTTCAGGCTTATATTGCTTGTCAATTATAACTGGCAAACAAATTGATGCAAAAATCATTAACTATATTTAATATAAGTGTTAGGAAAGCTACAGTATGTCAATTGGATTAATGCATAAGAATAGTGCTCAGCATACAGTCCAGACAGGTCTCATTAAAAATATTACCAATATAAATTTTTGATATTTCTAGATTAAAGAACCTGTATCATATTAATTTTCTTTGGAGGTTAGAGAATGGCATTACTTATAAAGTAAGATTAAGTATTTACCTTCCAATTGAATGGTATAAGTGCTGCAAGTGCACATTGCAAGTTGCACAAAACAGATTGGTATTGTATATGGCCATTTCTCTATAATAATTATATTTTATTGAAAAGTGAATGAAACACATCAGTAATTGTTGTTCTTTGGAACTTGGTCAGTCAAATCAGTTAATAAAATGGGTTGTTCTCTTGAATGTCTTGTTACTTGTCCTCTAAAGGAAAAATAATTACCTTATTCTTAGCTTACCTAAATAGCTGATAACAATTATTTTGTAAATATATAAATTCTTCTTTTTCCGAATGCAAAGTTTATGTCAGGCACACAACAAAATTACCCAAAAATTATAGCATTGGAAGAAATGTATCATAAATTTTACAGCACCCACTTTTTATAACATTTAATGGTTGTTCTTTTTATTATGATATTATGAAGAGAAAGTTGTGAGGATTTCTACCAGGTTTGACAATGATTAAATCAAACAGATGAAATCATGAGATAATAGCATTTCATTTTGTTTTAAATTTTATTTTTTTTATTTCATATATACATATATTGAGTTGCAGTCTTTCATTTATTTTGAGGTATTGTTATCCATGGTTTAGTTACTTTAGTATAAATGTACTATGACAAATTGGAATATAAACCTGTTGCCTTTAGTCTTAGTGTATATTATGTTCCAATGAATTGTATGTTTTTGGTAGAGAGGCATCAAGTGTTGCAATACATTGTACATATAACATAGCTAGCAGCTTAGCTAATTCTTATAAGGCTATAAGTAGTCTTTAACTATTTCACTGTTATGTATTAATCACCTTATACAATTTACATGTGTCAGCTAGCTTATATAAGAAGGGTTGGTTGAGATTGTATTGACCTTTTAGGCATTTAGAAAAATGTCCACCCTAATACAAGTATTCTAATTGAAATATTTAATATCATTTGTTAAATATGTGAATTTATGACTAGAAAAATTACAATATAAGTTAATAATAAGTGTTTAAACTTGTCAGGGTCACTTTATTCTATGTCAAATATTTGTGTAATATATACATAGGCCTTTGATGATAATTAGAATAAAAATGAATTATGATTGTTACTATACCATCAGGCAACCACTTAGCACCCTCTCCTTTGCTGAGGTGGAAAATTCCATGCAGAAAGCCAGGAGAAGGACGCAGCCGGCAGTGCCTGCAACAATTGTGGACCTTGTGGCTTTGGTCCAGGTGGACGAAAGGTTCAATACTAAATATTGAAAAATCTAACCTGTCTGCCTCTAATATTTTACTTTTTATCATTTACTATTTCAGAGTCTTTAAATTTTCTTTTCTTGTTAAAATTCCTGATACTATTACAACTTGCATTAAATATAAGAATTTGGCAAGATGATACATATATTTACGCAATTACTTGTATCTGTTATTTATGGGCTATGGTTGTGCTTGCTGGAAATTTCTGTAACGAATGTGTAATTAATTTGAATAAAATTAGTTTGTCCCCCTTCACATAAAGTGTCATCATGTAATTTTTCCCTTAGTTATGCATTCAGATAAAAGTCTTTGATGAGCTTCATATTTGCAGGTACAATACTACCTGTGCGGGGGAACGTATGCTGTTGGAAGTACAGGAGTTGGGCATCGATGGAACCAACCTGCTCTTCCTGTCTCCATCTCTTCGCATGGCCGCCACACTTGCCACTGAAGTCCATCTTGATGGCACATTTAAAGTAAGCTAATACGAAAACTGATGTTTATTACTTATCAATCAATAACTCTAGTTTCTTATAAAATATAAAACCTTTCGGAAACCATTTAACTTGAAATTATTATAATATATGAATTGAAAGTATTTTATGATGCTAGATTATTTAGATGTAATGTTAGTTGCTCGTTTATCCATCAGGTTGTACCTCGCATGTTCCAGCAGCTCCTGACTGTACATTTTATCGCGATGAACCACGTAAGTGATCTTCAGTAAGGCATGGACTCGATGTTCGTACTGAAGTTTACTGAATGGACTTTAACCTAGTGTGTAATCCATTTTAATTAACTCCGTTGGTTCTCAAGCAATGTTCTCCTTAGTATGATAGTGACCGAAGTAGGTACCGGCAATTCATTTTCACGCGATATGCTACCTATGATCGGGTCTCTCAGTTACAGTACTTCAAAATATGTTACACTGAAAATATTGAACAATTTATTGTGCAAGCTAGGTCATATCTCAAGGTGAAAATGATGACTATTAGTTAATCATCTGAATTTGAATAGGGCCCTGTTCATTGTATCTTACAAATTCCATTTAAAAAATATTGTCTCATTTTCTTCCGAAATTGTTGATCCCTTTCACGATCGAATATTTGAAATTTCAGAGTTTTCCGGTGGTGTACGCTCTGATGCAGCGACGGACCAGGACGAGTTACATCGCAGTACTTAGGGTGTGTCGGAACCTACTGGGCATGGCTCCAGCCTCCGTTGTTTGTGACTACGAGCTGGGCCTGGTGCAAGCTGTGCAGGCCGTCTTTCCAGCAGCCAGAGTGACTGGTTGCCTGTTTCATTTTGCTCAGGTTTTCCTTTTTGATACTTGATGTATTATATTATTAATTGCCGTTGCTAATACCTGAACTGAATATGGGTTTTGCCTTTAAATCTGTGCACTAAGCAGTCCCAGAAAAATTTTCTAGACACTCATATAAATGCGCTGGGCTTTCTTGACTTGCTAACTACTTCAAATAGGTGGAAATTATATTGAAAATATACAGGGATTTCCTAAAAGGGATACTTCGATAATTGCACAGTGACGTACAGTTGATGGAGCAGGGGCTTGGAACATTTGTATATTTTAGCTCTATGTACAAACTCGCACTCTGCAGCTAGGTTACGAAGGTTGTTACATGAATTTCATGCTATTTTATTCTATCCTTAGGCCGTGTGGCGCAAATTTCAAACTCTCGGGTTGGTCCGCGCCATGAGAGAGGATGAAAGACTAAAAATCGCAGTGCGTATGGCGATGGCCCTGGCATTTTTGCCTGCTGAGAATTTGGAAGCTGGAGTTTTGGCAGTCGAAGGCCGTGTCGCTGACAATCCGGTGGTTGCCTACACTACCTTTGTACGGTACCTGCGCCGCTTCTGGTTGGGTGCAGTTGGCGCAGAGGTGGTGTCTGTGTATGGACAACCAAGGCGAACCAACAACGCCGTTGAGTCGTTCCACCGCATACTGTCTAAGAACATTGCGCCTCATCCAAATCCACTTACTTTTCTCGGTAACTAGCATCCTCAATTGCATACTAATAAGCGTTTTCCGAGCATTTGAATGAGAAAATGTATTCAGCGGTCTTGCATTAAAATGTACTCTATTGTACTATAGATTTTAATTATGATAAGCTAAAGCATACTGTATTGTTTTCCATTGTTTGTGTAGATTAAATGATTGTCTGATTTAAACATTACTAGTTGCACTACGAAGACTGGAGGCAAGTCAGGCCAATGATTTTGTACTGGCCTCTACTGGACATCCTATAAGGCGACGGCGCAGGCCTGCCAATCTTGCCAACCATACGCGCATCAGAGATGCCATGCGCGAGTTTGCAAATGGAGCGTAAGTTCAAATGTTGATAGCTCTTCTTTTAATTGCGATATGGAAGTCTTCAAGTTTTTGAATTGGTATAGAGAGTATTATGTATTGCGTATAGTTTATTCAATAAAAATCGTGTATGGTTATTTTTGTCTCAGCATCAACGTAACTGAGTACCTCATAATCTGCTCGCACGCAATGGAGAACCTTGGAATCGTTGAAGGAGGAGAAGAGGAGTTAGAAGACGATGATGAAGAAGAGTACCCGCCTATCGTAGGTCAGTTTAAATAGTATTTTTTTCCCAAAATCCTAACGGTTTTAGTCTAGATTAAAAGCTTTAATCTACATTAACAATACAAAAAGTTTAGTCCATATTTTCTGTCTCAAAATCCTTGATTTTTAGGGTTGGTGCCCGATCTCGCTGCGAATGCTGGAGCGGCTGGCGGCCCGGGTGCGGCTGGCGGACGTTGCCGAGTTATGATGGAAAAAGTAAAAATTTTATGTCGCTCTGGATTTTCCCGGTTAGTGAGTATAAAGTTGTTCGGATACAAGTATCAATACGCGTACTGAGAGCGCGGGGTAAAACCGGGGGGACCCCGAATTTTACTACAACAGCAACCAGGATGAATTTGGAGTTGACAAATTTGGTAGATTGGCGATATCTATGAAGTGGTTGCGGTATTTAAAATTCCTTGTTGTCCCGATGAGTCCCCGATACTGGAAGGAAAATATTTCTACTCAATAAAAATGAATTAATCGAACATTAACTATGTGACAACCTACTCTAACTTATGAATCAAATAAGGACATAAATAAATAAATGCATACCTAAGATTTTGGTGCATCTCAGTGTTTAATGCAGTTAAGAGGCATAATGAAAAATAGAGGAAATCAGTTGAAGAAAGGTACTCTAGGCGGAAAATAGAAAAAATGCAGTTGGAGGCTTGACGTTGGAAATTTGAGACAAAGATATTGAACCGTAGGTCACAGCTAAGGAAACTAGTTCCTCGGCCTATAACAGAGACCTCGTTCACTTGGTTCTAAATTTGATATATTAATAATTGATCGTTGAATTGCCTAGAGCATCGTAGAAAAACTTTTATACAGAGCGTAAAAAAGTAATATGAAAAAAGCAACATTCACACCAACGAAAAGATAGGGAAAAAGCAGCCAGGAAGACGTTTAGAACTTCTGAATCTTCCGATGCTTCTCCGGTTGAAGTCGCTGTATACTTATGTGTTGAATGAATGAATTTAATGAATAACTGAGAATTTACGCAGATTTGAGATAAAAAACGGTACTAGATCGGATGACTTTACAATATGGGAGCTGATAAAGGAATGCTGATCCTAGCCGATACTTGCTACCTACTTAAACTACGAAAAACTGAATACAACAAAACTCTGAATACGACACAAACAAAACAAAAACATCAAGCTAGCAAATTTAAAGGATGAACTACTAATATTATCAATGGTGGGAAAAATTTCCCACAAAAGTCCCCGATTTGAGAACTGTCAATAAGTAACGAGTCTCTTCTGGAGAGTTTTGGTCAATTTTACGATTTCTATAGTTCTATCCGCCGAAAGTCTTCCTCTCACGAAATAATATGATAATAAAATGTCTATATTTTGGCTTTTCACTTCCATTTGAAAATTAATCAGCCTCGAGTGAAGACTAAAAAAAACCTAAATGTGAGAATGAATTTCTTCATCTCGGAGAATGAACAATGCACCCAAACTTTCCTTATCATCCATATTCATTCAATGCTCCTACAATATTAATAAAAAAACGTTGAGCCTCCGGAGTTTGATTTAGATTTTATTATTAATTTAATTTGTTCATCGACCATTTTAAATGCTAATCAATGAATTTGGGCATTAATGATTAAAATACACGAGTTTGACTTGGCAACATTGAAGATGAATTGAACATTGAAGAATTTGGTTCCCGCACTGTACTGCTGTTGTCGCTAATTTTCTGCAAGTCACCATTACTAAGTGTAAGTGCCGTGTCGCTTATTAATTGTTGTTCAGCTTGTGATAAATTAGGTTGTATTATAACACGTCAAGTTGCAGTGAATATCATGACAATTTTCTTGTTTTGCTCTCTTGAAATGAATAATTTATTATTTCATATCGAACAAATACCGAAAAATGTATAGCACATTGACTGTTTCGGAGTGTGGTCAGAATGTGAAACATTCCATATGCTTGAGACATTTGGTGACACATCGTGGAGTGTTGGTCCTTTCGGTGAACATGTATACACTGTATAAGTATGTGCTGGTGACAGCAATGGCTGTTATCGTAACCATCTTTAATTAGTTCACTGTAACTCTCGTAAAGTATTTTTTGCTTAATAAAAGTAGAATTTTTCGTCCTAATTACTTATGAAACTGACCATATAATAGTTTGTATTATGTTATATTAGATATACGTACGGAGTACATGGAAATAGTTTCTAAATGCAACATTTTACTTTAGTTGCAGGCCATAATATCCGGAATACGATGGATGCACTGAAACTGCATTGTCCAAATAGCGACGCACTTTTGTCCTTGTCTGGGTTATCATGTCTCAGTTTGGCCAGGCAAATAGGCGTATCAGTGCTACATGCAGTAAGTGTGTCACTATTTGCACAATATGACCCATTCATCGCTATGAGTGTACTAGCGCGCCCCCTAACGAAGACTGCTATTCTTCGTAAATTGTGGCAGTTCGTTCACCGTTAATTCGTAGGGCATGAAATATTTTTCCGATATTCTTCTGTTAACGCGACTTCGGTGGCATCTGTAAATTTTGTGCAGAAAATAAAATGGCAAGGCCACTAAATTAAATATATTAGATCTCATGACATCCAACATATATTAGCTTATGGAAAATTGTAGCTTTATTCGTACGTTCTTCATATGTTCTTTATTCGAACGTTGTTCACATGTTTTTTATTCGTACGTCTTAGTGGCGGAGCGAGTCACTCAGAAAAGTTAGGATTGATCGGCTGGACCCAACCAAAAAGGCTGTTTTATTAATTAAAAAACATATTATTTCTGCATTTATTTTATATATTACTTTGTTTGTTTGTTTACTCATTTATTTGCTTATAAATTTTTGGCTGCTGTGCCCATGGTTGTTCTGTCGCGCTTGTTGCTCTCGCACGGGCAGCAAAAAGCTTTGTTTGCCAACAGCGCTGCGTAACTGCCAGCGATTGAGCGGTACAAGACTAATGGACCATCAAATGATTATAGTTTCTTCAACGATGGCTTTCAATAACATTATTTTTTCGAATAATGTCTGTCAAGTGCATGAGCAAGAACTTTCGTTCCGCAAGGTTATTGGCAAAAATTTGGCTGACAAGTAAACCTAACCCAGGCTTGAATTTGTACAGCTTCCATTCAACTATGCACG